AAGTGCAGAGTCAGCACGCCTTTTCCTCATCTATAGGCTTTGCAGCCTGGACTCTAAGGAGGCAGCCAATTGGAGTTTTCAGAGGCCAGGGCTGAAGGGTTCAGAGAGCAGGCAGCAACTCCCTGCCTCCACTCAGCTCCTCTGGCTGCTGTCACTTGTTCAGCCATCTTGGCTGTATGCGGCCGTCTGGCCTGCTGACATGAGGTGGTCTTTAGAGCCAGATGCTTGGACCGAGAGTTAGGCCTGAGCCTGGGGAGAAGCTGGATGGGGCTGGCCGAGGGAGGGGGTCCCACTGGGGAAGAAGGAGGAGAGGCTTCTCCACGGCTCCAAGCACTAGATCCCCGCATTGTTCCCTAGCAGTTTTTCTGGCAGTGAGGCGCCATGACCTCCATGTGCCAAATCAAAGAGCAGACATCTTACCTGTGATTTCCTGGCTTCTTTTGGTAGAGTAGGTGTTTTGGAGCTGCGAGAGGGGCTGAGAGGTATGCCCATGAGGCGGCTGTGGTTGATTTTATCTCCAGAAAGCAGGGAGGGGCTTCTTGGACAACATTTCTCCTTGGAAAGGCCTGAATCAGAGAAATACAGCTGATGGTTGAGGCAGAGAGGAGGGCAGGGAGAAAGGGCAGAGAGCAGGAGAGGGCAGCAGCAGAGTACTACCTGGAGGGAGCCCCGTCACCACCAGCAGCCTCGGCCCAGCAGGGGCCTAGAGTTAGGGTCACTGTGCAGCAGAGACTGGCTTTCTGGAAGAACACTGCCGTGCTGCTTGATCTTGGTGCGTTCCTTCTGCCTGCTGCAGCTGCCAGAGGTCAGAGCCCTTGCTGAGGTCCAGGGAGAATCAGGACCTTGTGTCCACAGAGGTCATAGCCCCCTTCCTTTGAGCTTTGGCCACCTGAAAAGATGCCACGTGTCCCCAAGCCTGGGCAAGCCATTCCCACAACCCCTGTGGTTCCCAGCATGTATGACTGTCACTCTGACTGCTACGACATCTTCCTACCTGCTCTGTGCCCTTGTGTCCATGGCAGCGAGGCACCTCCTCTCCTGCATGGCCCCCTAACCCCCTGCTCTGTTCCCTGACAGGCGCCCAAAGACTGCACTGCTCCTGCACCACCCTCTGCTGATGCCACTGTGTTACCTGGTGGTGTAGCGCCCCCTGGTGCTAGTCTACCTAGCATGACACCAACTCGGGTTTCTGCCTCTGTCCTTGTGCCTGCTACCCTGTATGCTTGTACCATCTCCCTTCCCAGAGGACTGCGCCTGCTGTGCCTTCTCTTCTCCTTTCTTCCAGCAGCTTGGTTCCCAGTGCCAGGCACCCTTCCCAGCACTGGGGGGGGGGAGGCCAAGACAGGGCTTTCTCTTGAGCTTGTGGCAGTGGCAGGTTGCTGGAAGGAGATGGGCTCCTGCCACCCTGAGTGGTTCTTACTGGAAATCAGGTGATCACTCTCTCTTTGTTCTCCCTCAGATCCATGATGCTGACCATGGCCCTGTCCTCATAGATGAGACCAAGTGAGTGTCTTCCTGTGTGGGCAGCATTCCCTAAGCCATGGGAATGAGGGCAGGCCACGGCCCAAGGACCTCTTTTGCATCAAGCCCCTGCACCCCTGACCTCTGCGTGCCTGTCCCTAGGACATTGTCCTCCACGGAGGAGCCTGCGTCAACCTGCTCGCGCTCAATGTCTTGTCTCCGAGGTACCTCCAGACACTGGGACTCAGGAAGAGAGGAGAGAGAGGAAAGGACAGAAATGGAGGCTGGGATTCCTGAGAGATGGGAAGTCCTGGAGAGACTGACCTGTGGCTGTGTTGGGCAGGCTGGTGTTGGCTCTTCTTGGAACCATACAGATGAAGGACGTGGCCATGAGAACGGTGACAATGTATCTCAGGTGCGGAAGCATAGGGAGAGCATCACTCAGGAAGGGAGGGGTATGGTGATAGAACCCAGAGAAGCTGGCATAGAGGGTGATGAGAGGAAAGGCCAGGCTGGGCAGAGGAGTTGCCAGTGGAGGTTGGGAGGAGAGGTAGTCTGAGGGTAGGCATAGAGGGTGATGAGAGGAGAGCCAGGCTGGGCAGAGGAGTTGCCAGGTGGAGGTGGGAGGAGAGGTAGTCTGAGGGTAGGCATAGAGGGTGATGAGAGGAGAGGCCAAGCTGGGCAGAGGAGTTGCCAGGTGGGGGGGAGGTAGTCTGAGGGTAGGCATAGATGAGAGGAGAGGCCAAGCTGGGCAGAGGAGTTGCCAGGTGGAGGTGGGAGGAGAGGTAGTCTGAGGGTAGGCATAGAGGGTGATGAGAGGAGAGGCCAGGCTGGGCAGAGGAGTTGCCAGGTGGAGGTGGGGTGGAGAGGTAGTCTGAGGGTAGGGACTTGGCGGTGGAGGATGTAGCATCTCCATGGGAGCTCTTGTCTCTTCTAGTCAATGTCCTACATCAATGGAGAGGGCCTCACATCTTCCTACATGAAGGATCTGGAGGTGAGTGGCTCTGTAGGGCCAGCCCCCCTCTTCTCCCACAGCAGGGGCTGAGTGCCCTGCTACCAGCTGAGACAGCCCGTGCCACCCCAGCCCTAATGACTGCTCTCTCTACCTCTCCTCAAACCCTCCTGCAACTCCTCCTCTCTGCATGCGCCTCAGAGCCGGTACCAAGAGCTGGCAGTAGCCCCAGACTCCAGCTATCTAACAAACAAACAACTCAGTAACACCATAGAGGAATTGGTAAGAGCCCAGTGGGGTCCCCTGATTCCATGCTGCCCACCCTGGGCTTCTGTTTCCCCGTGGGCTCTGAAAAAAGGGGCTGGGGGCCCCCTGGTGCTGAGGGAGAGTGGGGTGCTGGGTGGGCCAGGTCTCAGCTGGAGGGACCCCAGAGCGTGGAGCGTGCAGCATGGCTCTCATCCTGTTGCTGCCCTCTCCGCCTCCTCTCTTCTCCAGACACCCCTGCTTGCACCCTGGCCACACAGCCCTGGGATTGTGGCCTCTCATTCAGCACTGGCCATGAGACTCGTGTCCCCATCCTGACTCAGGCCCTGACCTGAGCTTTGAGTTTGGACAAGCACCTCTCCACCCTGGGCTTGAGTTTCCCAAGGAGGTGGAAATGGCAGTTGTCAAAGGTCTCTTTTAGCTCTAAGAATCCAAGATTTCCAGGCTCCCTGGGACGTCAACCTCAGGGAGAGAAGGGATCTTACCTGTGCTTTTCATTCCTGTATCCCCGCTGATAAGAGCAGCCCCAACCCCTATGTAGCACGTGCTGAGCTGTCGAACGATGCGCACACCCCTGTAAATCCAAACCTAGCGGAAGGCCTGTCTTTTCTCACATTCTGTTTCTGGAGGCTCACCTTACTGTCCCCTAAGAAGAATCCCAATTCAGACGCGGTTCCATAGCTGTGAGCAAAAACCAGCAAAGACCCACATGCTCTTTCCTTGGGAGCCTCGGGACAGGCCCTGTGCCCATAGGGTCTGAGAATGTGCCAATCCCACCCTGGCCCCCTGCGCACCCCCTCTTGCTCTGGGAGTGGAGTAGAGGGGACATCCTTAGTCACCTTCCTTTCTTTGACTCTCCCCACAGAAACAACAGCAGCATTGGTTTAGAGGGAGGCAGTGGCCCCTGCTCATGGCTCTTTTCTCTGTGCTCTGGGCAGCTCTGCATGCTGAGGGAGGAGAAGGAGTGCAGTCTGAGTCAGGTGCGGGAGCTGGAGACCACCTTGGCCGAGCTCAAGAGCCAGATGGGTAAGCAGGGGCAGACGTGGCCTGGAAGCTCCAGTAAGAGGTGTTGTGGCAGAGGGAAGCAGGTCTGTGCCGGTGGATGGCGAGTCTTGTTATCTCTTTGAGCATAGGAGACCTCATCTGTAAATAGGGGTGGTGCACCCACTGTCCACTATGCACGGTCAAGCACTCTGTGTCCTGGCTTGGAAGGGTAATGACCATCTGAATATAGAAAGTTGTTAGCCAAGAAGCCAGCACCGGGGTGGGGGCAAGCCATTGGCCTGAGGAGCTAAGGACCAAAACAGGAGCTTTTTGAAAACCCAGAGGCTGGGGCCCTGATGGCTGCTTCCTTTCTCAGCTGAGCCTCACACCCCAGAGTCCCCAGCTTTCCCCGCAGGGCCGGTGGCGGTGGAATAGCAGCTGCAAGCTCAGGCTGAGCAGCTGCAGAAGGAGCTGGAGAGCCTGGTGGGACAGCTGCAGGCCCAGGTGCAGGACAACGCAGGCCTGAGTCGCCTGAACCAGCAGCAGGAACAGCGGCTGCTGCAGCTGGAGCGGGAGGCGGAGCTGTGGGGCAGCCAGGCCGAGGAGTGCAAGCAGAGCGACCGCGTGACCATCAGCCGTGCACTCCTGCAGAACCGGGAGCTCAAGGAGCAGCTGGCCGAGCTGCAGGATGGCTTCGTGAGACTGGTGTGTTCGGCCTCCCTGGACAAGGCCTCTGGTACAAAACACTTCCCTCTAGGCCTTCACTTCCCCCCCACACCAAAGGGGACGGTGATGACCTAGGCAGGTGCCCTGTGAGCCAGGACCCTGCTCAAATGTCTGTTGGAGGAGAGGGGCTGAGTTTCCAGCCCTCCTGGCACTGTGGGAGGTGGGCACCTGGTGCTGGGATCCGGATGCAGCCACTTTGGGTGGCAACGGATTGCTTCTCTCTGTGCAGAGCAATGACAACATGCGGCTCACCCTCTTGCTGCAGGCAGAGCAGGGAACTCGGCCAGCTGCAGGAGAAGCTGGGGGAGCTGAAGGAAATGGTAATGCTCAGCCTGACTGTGAAGGACTGGGCCATGGGGACAAGTCTCTGGGGAGGGCAGTGCTAGGCCCAGGAGGGAGGCTGCTCCAGTCTGGAGTGACAGGTGACCTCCATATCGACTGTCCTGCCTCTCTTAGGGCTGGTAGCCCCGGGCTCCTCCCGGGGCCTAGACGTCATTGTCCCATGAGAGGCGTGTCACCCAGCTTCACTGGTCACTACACAAAGGCTACCCTTTGCTGAGCCTCAGATTCCCGACAAAGGAACTTAGCATTTTTCCTTACACAGGTGTTGAGGATGAGCTGAGATTGTGCATGTAAAGTATTAGGCACGAGTGTTCCCCTAGCAGCTGATGCCTTCCCTCTCGTGTGTGGCCTCAAGTTAAAGTGATGGGAAAGAAGGGGATGAGGTGTGAGGCTGGGTGCAGGAGACATGGGGCTCTGGGCCACTCTCCTGCAACCAGTGGAATTGGTTAGCAAGCCACCACCTGCCCTCATGCTCCCCCCACCCCCCTTGGTCTTCCGCAGATGGAGCTGAAGAGCCAGGAGGCTCAGGGTCTGCACCAACAGCGCGACCAGTGCCTGTTCCACCTGCAGCAGCACGTGGCCGCCTACACACAGCTGCACTTTGAGAAGAAGGCGCTACACAAGCAGAACCCTACTGTGCAGCAGCTCAGGAAGCAGCCACAGGAGATGCAGAACCCCCAGGAGTGCCCAGGCTTGGGCACCAACCACTGCATCCCCTTCTTCTACCGGGCTGACAAGCATGATGACATTATCGTCTAACACCAGATGCCATCAGCCCGGAGAGCCCCAACCCAATCCTCGCCACTCTACCCCTGCTAGCCACCCTATCCCCTGCTGTTCCTTCCCACTTCCCTTCCCTCCTTAGCAAGAACCCCTGATGGGGAGAGAAAGGCCTCTTTAGGCTGCCTCTCTGGAGGACCCCAGGGGCTCCTGGGGCCTCCTCATTTCCAGCTCCATCTTTAGAGGCCGTGATCAACACAGGCAGCATTTGTGTGGCCCCCAGAACAGCCAAGACCAGGGGGTGCTCAACCACTTGGGCAAGTCAGCCAGGCAGTTTTCATCACCCCTCTTGGGGCTAAGTGTCAGCCTGGCTGGCATAATCTGGCCAGGAACATCACGTGGGGGCATCAGCAGGCACAGACATGAGGGCATCAGGAGAGGAGGGCATCTGAGTGAGGGTCATTGCTGGTCGGGGGCACCCGGGCAAGGGCATCACTGGGCAGGGGTCACTTCTGGGGCAGGGGCATCATCATGGGCAAGGGTCACTTCCAGGCCAGGGGCATCATGGGTAAGGGTCACTTCTGGGCCAGGGCATCATGGGTAAGGGTATATGGGTGAGGAGGGCACAATAGGATGAGGGTCATCTCTGGGCAAGGGCAGTCCCTTATTCAGGGAGGCTCCCGGTGCCAAATCTCAGGGTGGCCTGGGCAAGCTGAGGCTAATGGGAGGCCAGGTGCTTACCACACGTGGCGGTCACAGTAGGCCAGGCGTGGTCCAGCTCTTCACTCCATGCTTGTGCCCCCAGGCAGGCCAGCTGGGAGGCATGGTCAACAGCCCTCAAAGGGTCGGCTGGGGCAGGTGATGCAGGGGCACCTGTCCCCTTACTAAGAGGCACACCAGCCAGGCAGGGCCGAGGCAGGCTAGGCAGGCATTCGGGGGACTGCCTTTTCTTTAGAGGCACTTTGGGGCAGGGCAGTAGGCAGCATTCTGTCAGGCCCTAGGACAGTTGGGGCTAACTCTAGGCCTGATGAGGGGAAGAGGCTGCCTCCAGTGGGCCTCCCCACCCCCACCCCCATGTACATATTGTACTTGTGTATATTTTGTATATTCTGGGGGTAGGGCCTCCCCTGTATCATATCTGAGGCTGGAGCGTGCAAATGAGGAGGAGGTCTTAATAATTATTTGGGGCTGGGAAACTTATTTATTGACAGTCTATGGCCCAGGAAAGAGGCGGAGACAGGGTTGTGGCACCATGGTGATGTGGCTCCTGTTATTATCTTGAAATAAAGAGATTGAGTCATACTGCTTGGCCCCGTGTGTGGCAGCTTTGTTGCAGGGCCCAGGGTCTGCTGTGCTGCGGGTGGGCACTGCACAGGGCAGCAGGGCCTGCCAGCAGTGGGCAGCCTCTGTGCTGTGCTGAGTGTTCAGTGGGGTGAAGAGGCCTCTTCCAGGCTGGTCTCCTTACACCGCAACTCCAGGGGCACTGCCACCTGTGTGTGTGTGTGTGTGTGTGTGTATATATAATATGAGTTTTTATAGATATTTATAGAACAGGGCAGGAGCAGGACCACAGAGGGGCACACATTTTCACCAAGGTCACACCTGGAGGTGTGAGCTCACCACACAACAGAAAGTCACAGAAGAAGGGGAGGCTTTGGGGCTGAGGGGCCACTGTCAAGTCACAGAACAGCTCTCTGGACAGACTGGCAAAGGGAGGTCTCCGAGGAAGAGGAGGGATCTGGTTAGAGGTTGAAGGGGGGCCTGGGGCTCTCAGGACGGGACGGCCTTGCCTGACCCAATCGTCTGGCAGTGGGAGAGAGAGCAGAGAGAACAGTGGAGAGAGAGGAGGGAGACAGGTGGTAAGGCAAGAGCAGCCAGGCCATGGCACTGGTGGGCAGTGCGGGAGTGGGAGCAGCAGGAGGTGGGCACGTGGGTGAGCTTTCTGGAAAAGGCCATGGACAGGAAGGGGAAGGAAGATGGGAGGAGGAGCTGGAGTGGGTGACCAGAGCTTCCAGGGGAGTCGGGGTGGAGGTTAGAGAGGGCCTCCCCTGCCACTCACGCCACTTCTCACACAGCACCCAGGCAGCACAGCCACAGTCCTGACACAAGCCTGGTCCTCTCAGACTTCCCTCCTCCCTGATGGCCCTGCCTTTGGACCCACTGGCCAGGGCCAGCACTAGCCTCGGGAGTCCCACATGGTAGCCAGCAGTCCTGATGGAGAAAGACAGGAGGAAGAACCCTGCTTGAACCAGGAGTGTACAGCTAAAACAGATGGCTGGAGGGGGCACCGGAGGCCCCTCAGGTACTCAAAAACCCAGGAGTCCTCTGAGGGGACACTGGGGAGGTTGGGCGGGCAGGCGGGCACAGACTCCCAAATCTAAGAGGGGCACCTCAGCTGGTCGGGAGGCTGCAGGTTGTTGAGGTGAGTCTGGGCCATCCCTGCTGGGGAAAAGCAGAAGAGGGAGAGTCAGAGGCCAGTGAAGAGTGGCAGGTGGGGCCCTGGGCCAACTCTGTGGCCCAGCCGGGCGGAACTCAAGAGTAGCTGACCTGCCCTGGCTAAGGGGCTTCATCCGGGGCTGAGGACCCCACCTTCAGCCAGTAGCAGGTGTGACAATGCCCAGGAGGGAGGCAGGAGGCTGCGCGTCCCTGCCTCACCTGGGCTGATGGGTGCAGAGGATTCTCAGGATTTGAGGTCATAAAGCAACCGAAGGCTTCACCCTGGCCACTCTCAACTGCACACCCAAGGGACGAGGTGACCCTCGGCCTGTCACCCTGGCCTGTGCTGGGGCTCCCAAGCCAGGGGGCAGGACACCCCCCTGCCCCCAGAAGCACAGCTCCGATTGGGGCAGGTGTGGCACGCCCAGGAGGAAGTTCAAAGACCTCTGGCTGTCCCACAACAACACCCCCCAAGTTCCCAGCCCCTACACCATCAACCACAAGCTCCCTGGCCTCTCTGACAGCTCAGAGGGCACCCACATCTGCCAGTGGTGCGGATCCTGTCCCGAGAACCCCCAGGCTCAGCCACGGAGGCCCTGGGCAGCTGCATCTGGAGCTGCAGTAGGGAGAGGGAGGGGCTTCACCCTGAGGTCCCAGGGGTGCCCCCCAGTGTGGGGCTGGTGCAGTGGGGGCAGATGCAGTCCTGAGGCAGGCAGAGCGGCACGTGCCTACCTTGGCTGACGCTCCTCAGGGGGCACTGAGAGGGATTCTGAAAGACAGCTCAGGAGCCTCCCAGAGTTTTGTCTGCCCAGGAAGACTGAGGAAGGCCCACCTGTGGGCTGTGGTTGGGGTGGGGGAGGGCTGGGGGTAGCTGTGACTGCCACTATGTGGGGGGGCATGTAGACAACCTCCCCCCATTCGGTGGGCTCAGAAATCCTCATGGGGGATGGAGGGCATTGGCACCACAGGGGTTGGCAGGTGCTGGCAACCTCATGGGTTGGGGAACAGAGGCACCCTCACAGGTCAGGGGGCATGGGCACCCTCATGGGGTTGGTGGCCACAGCAACCCTCACCAGGTTGGGTGGCAGCCATCCTCACAGGGTCAGGGGCAGCACCCACCCTCATGGGGTTGGTAGTTCAGGCACACTCATGGGGCTGGGAATGCTGGCACCCACATGGCTCAGGGGGCATTGTCACCCTCATGGCTCAGGGGGTACTGGCACCACATGTTGGGGCCCCTGCACCCTCAAGGATTGTGTGGTATAGTGAGAAGGCCATGCCAAGATGGCTGCTGCAAGAAAGTGTCAGTTACTCAGGAATTGCTTCAGAAACTCCCTGGGAAACCACCTGGCAATGGAGCCTGCCTGGCAACAGGCTGTGATTGGTCAGGGCATAAACCGCCCCTTGACAAAATTGGCTGCCTCGGCTATATTAGCTGCTGCACCAACTGAAATATACAAGTCTGCTGGCTGCTCACCTCTGGCCTGCTTTCACCCAACTCCCAGCATCTGTGTGGTGACTCTGCACCTCTTGCCCCCACCATGCTCCTCCTCTCAGAATGAATCCACAGCAACATCTGGCACCAACGTGACTGAGAGAGAGACAGTGTGTTGGACTCGGTGAGGTCCCCCCTTGATTTTGGCAAGTAGGCCCCTCAGTGTTTTGTGTGCTATTCGGTTCTGTGAGGGTGAGCACAGAACCCCCTCCTACGCCCCTTTCCTTGTCCTTGTACTCAGTCTAAGTGACCCCAGGTTAGTCACACACCACCCAGAAACCTAATGCCGCTTCTCAGCTCCTCCTTTTACTTCCGGTTCGCCTGGCGAATTCACATAAGGGACCAATCATCCCAGAATTTGTAACCAAGTCATCTACCCTCCCTTGAGAGAGTTGACGCTCTGGAGACATCGTGTGGACATACGGGCCTTGACCTAATGAATCAAGGAAGTCCCCCACTAAGCACAGGACAAATGTACGACCTGATACACCACTGTCTGTCTGTCATGTAGGGAACCCCTGCATAATGCCATCAACCATTGAGGTGCTAGGAATTTGTTTTGTTATGGCAGCAGTGCTGTGCGTGTCTTTCCTTTGGCTAGAGTTGGCAGTGCCATGCCGCTCTTAAGCACTCAAACATGGGAAAGATACCCCCTCTCAGAAACCCACACAGATGACCAAACATAATGAATCTGTGAGTGATGAGAGCCTGTCACTCCAGGTCCCTGTCTCACAGGCATCAGTTGATGACTTAGGGAGAGAGCGCTCTGACAGTGAAAATGACGTGTCAGCAGACAACGCAGCAATGCCTAGTCAGACACCCCCCAGATACCCATGGGATGAACTTAGACGACCTCAAGGCAATAACCCATGTGAGGTCATCCCATCCGCACCCAATGAGGATCCCCATGTTTGTGGCAGTCCCCAGGTACCCCAGGCTCTCAGAGCAGCTGCTAGACCCCATCCCACCTGCATGTTTGCCCTAAATGTAGGAGCAGATGTGGAATTCAGGCCCTGGATTCCAACACCCATAGAAAGGCTTTTGCTGACCAAGGGCCAAGGATATGCTTGTGTCTATCCAGAGAATGCGGGACAGCCCATTTGGGTACCAGCCAGAAACATCAAGCCTGCAACTGATAGTCAACCAGAACCAGCTGAACAAGACAGAGTCCACTTTGTCAGTGGACGCACCTGCTACCAATTGTTGAGCTGCTGCCCTATCATCCTACCCTGAGGAACTGCCCATAGCCATATTTGCTACTGTTTTATACCCCCACTAGCTCTGGTCAGCCACTCAAATGGCCCACAGCCTGCATGCAGTTAGCCATTGTTCCTTATTCCTACCCCCATCTGAGCAAGCACTCCCATGGTCTCCCATTTTGAGCGCTGCTTAGTCAATGATGGGTAAGATCCCCTGGGGGATAACTTAAGACAGGACACAGCCATGAATAGAGACCACATGGAAATGGGGTCAACAATGGTATGGCCAAGAATCATGCCTCCCGTTGCTCAAAAATAAACAAAAAGGGGCAATGTGGTGGAACAAGAAGGCCATGCCAAGATGGCTGCTGGCAACGGAGCCTGCCTGGCAATAGACTGTGATTGGATGGCTTTGGAAACCACATGGCAATGGAGCCTGCCTGGCAACAGGCTGTGATTGGCATGGCTTCCAAAACCACATGGCAATGGAGCCTGCCTGGCAATGGGCTATGACTGGTTAAGGCATAAATTGCCCCTTGACTGGATTGGCTGCTTCGACTATATAAGCTGCTGTGCCAACTGAAATAGACGAGTCTGCGGGCTGCTCACCTCTCACCGCTTTCACCCGACTCCTGGGACCTGTGTGGCGACTCCACGCCTCTTGCCCCCACCGCGCTCTTCCTCTCAGAACGAATCCACAGTAACAATTAAGTTCAGGTGGGAGCAGGGGCTGCCTCAGAATGTGGATTAAAACTCGAGATTTGCACTCTGGCCCAGGGGTGCCTCTTTGAGGACAGCCAGGCCTGGATGCAGCTCCAGGAGCCCTGCAGGAACACACCTGCCACAGAGAAGCTGCAAGGTAGCTCCTGTTAGTTACCTGATAACCCACCCTTGATTAGCTTGAAGGGTCTTACCCTGCTACTTCATTCCCCCAGCCAAATTTTTATCTTCTCTCCTTTATTTAAAGAGAAACTGCATTCTGCACCTGGATGTTGTTAACCAAGAATTCATACTCAGCTTCCAGTCCAAGCCACGTCTCCAGGTGTCCACTTGGGGGGTGCCTGACAAATGAACAGGTATCCACACCACACAGAAGAGATGTTCCAGTTACTGGTCTTACTTCTCTAACAATGAGGTGGTTTGGGCCCCACGTGAATACTCATGAGCTTTGCACACACTGATACATAGACCAGCCCGGAGCTCCCCAAGGCCTGGATCCAGAAAGAGGATTCTCTCTAGTGCTTTGTACTTGGCTAGAGTTGAGGATGCCTGAATTCATTTCTGCCCACTCACACAGCCCCACACCCTGGGTGCCTAAGATTCATTCTCAGGCCTGTCTCACCACCACTGACCAGCATCAGGATATTCTGAGACTCCCCACAAAACCTCTGGAGGCTCTGAGAGTACACAGGGAGGGCAGGATGACTGAGCCAGAAGAGACTTTTACCTATGGGGGCCTGGGGCTGCAGGAAATTGTTTTTTTTTTCTCCCTCAGGCTATGGAGTAATTGAATCTAGGAGTAGAGATGCCCCTTGCAGCTCAGTGACTAGAGAACAACCTCTCTTTCATCCTTCCAAAAGGTCAGCACCTTCAAGCACCAGAATGGGCTCATCCTGGCCCCCACTTCACATATGATCTCAGTGACAGCTCCAAGGCCAGCAGTCAGGCCTCTTGGAACCTGTCTGGGGCATGTAGGAAAAGAAGGGGCCTCTTGGGAGAGAACATGATGCCTTGGGCCACCTGGCCAGGTTTTCTGTGATTGCCAGGACAATGGCAATCTCAAAAGCAAAAATAATCAGGTTTTGCAAAGAATGATATTCATTTGGGAATGGTAGAGCAACGCAATGGTTGAACATGTGGCATAATAGACTATGAATGCACTCAAAGGGTCTGAGGGAGGGGGAGTTCTTAAAGGAAAACATAAGGAATGCTATACCAAATACTTGGAAACAACAATATTGGATCACAATGGATAATACCTAGGCTGAGTCCTTTACAATAGTTACTATTAGGCAACCAAGAGTTTAGCATCAGCTCCAGGGCTGCAGCAGGTTGGACATGACAGGAGCTGAGATGTGCCTACTGGGACTCATGGTTGTTAGTGACCATACAGGAAGTGCCCCTAGAACGGTGGTAAATGCCCAATTAGGGTGAGCCCAAGAAAGAATGGCAGAAGCATGGACAAGAGTATACACACGAGTCCATGCTTCCTGCTGAAAAGAGAGTCGAGTGTTTACAAAGACATGTGATGCAGAGGTTTTGTCTCACAGATGAACATTGCATACGATGCTCAGACCATGCAAAGAGATTGATGCGAGACACTGGTAGAAAATCAACATACAAGGGACTTCGGAGTGCACTTACTTTAGAAATGAGAAATATCAACAAACAATTTCTCTTTGGTTTGTCTGTGCTTTGATGAGGGAAGATTGCCTTTCATCTGAGAGCCATTTTTCGTTGTGTGGTATGCTGCAATTGCACCAAATTAAAATATTTTTCCTAGTTGTTTTCTTTCTCTGAAAATGTTCATCTTAAGGATGTATTTACAATAAGATTGCATTTTGGGGCTGGTACTGTGGTGCAGTGGGTTAAACCACTTCTTGAGGTGCTAGCATCACATACAGGTGCCAGTTTGAGTCCTGGCCACTCCACTTCCAATTCAGCTCCCTGCTAATGTACCTGGGGTAGTAGCAGAAGTGCTTGGGCCCCTGCACCCACGTGGGAGACCTGGAAGAAGCTCCCAGCTCCTGGCTTTGGTCTGGCCCAGCCTTGGCCATTGCAGCCATCTGGGGAGTGAAGTAGATAGAAGATACCCCCTTTCTATCTCTCTCTCTCTTTCCTCTCTCTCTCTCTCTCTCTCTCTCTCTCTCTAACTCTATCTTGCAAATAAAGTAAATAAATCATCTTAAAAGATATTGCATGTTATATACCTTATTACCATCAGATAGCTGAATAATTTGGGGGCTCCTAAGCTTACTGGGGATGCATTAAAGACCTGAATTTAAGGCCTATGACTAAATTTGCTAGGAAAAAATATAGGGGAAACACTTCAAGACATTGGTGTAGATGGTGACTTCTTGGTTAAGGTCTCCAAGGCATAGACAACGAAAGCAAAACTAGACAAATGGTATATCAAAACTCAGAAGCTTCTGCATGTCAAAGGAAAAGGTAGAGTGAAGAGACGTCCAACAGAAAGTGCAAAAACACTTGTGAGCCACTTATCTGATCAGGGGTTAACATCCAGAATATATCAGCAACATAAAAAACTCAACAAGAAACAACCAATCGAGTTAAGAAATGGGGAAAGGACCTCAGAAGACAGTTCTCTGAAGAAGAAATGCAAATGGCTAACAGATATAGTGAGGGAATTCTTAGGGGATAATAATTTAAACCAATCCAAGCATTTGGTATATGATTGTCCTTGAATTCAGAACATGGCAATCAGGAGGTAATTAGTTCTGACAAAATGATACTACATTATTGGTTTTGTAATAATTGTCAAATATCATCAGTTTCTCATAATGGATTCCAAAACATTTGGAGAGGCTTATTACTTTCTAGACATTTGGGAAAGGAAGGAGAGACTGTTCAGTGCTCAGAAAGGTGTTTTTTAAAACCACCACAAGAGAGCAGTAAGACATAGGCTTTAGTATCTGCACCCCTGTTTCTCAGAGGCTTGGGAATATGTTTATTCCACCTTTCTTGTGTTAATGTCTGCTTTTCTTCATTTTAAAATTCTCAAACATCTTGAGATAAATTTACTCTCTCTGGAACCTTCTGATTGTACATCTGTGTCTGTGTGTGCACATGTGCATGAGTATATGTTAATGTTCATACATGCATTGTGATGTGCATGCTTGTCTAACATATGTATAAATCTCTGTTAGTGTTGCTATTGTATATATTCATGTGTACCTTCATCTGTGTGTACTATGTAAGTGTGTGAAGGTTAAGTGTATGAGTGTGTGTACCTTTATGAAATATATGTTTGTGTATACCCACTCACATCAAATACTATGCACATGTATGTGTGTGTGTGTGTTAGATGTGCACTGTGGTGTGTCCATTTGTGTGGCTCAGGCCTATTCAAGTGTGGGCTAGGGTATGTGACATATGTGTGCCTGTGTTCATGTTTGTGGGATTTTATTGGATGGACAGGGAGATTTCAAATAGCATTTATATGTGTGTGTAATGACAAGGAACTAAACCAACTGCCCTCTTTTTAAAAGATTTATTCATTTATTTGAAAGTCAGAGTTACACAGGGGGAGGAGAGGCAGAGAGAGGGGGAGAGAGGTCTTCCATCTGATGGCTCATTCCCCAATTGGCCACAACAGCCAGAGCTGTGCCGATCTGAAGCCAGGAACCAGGAGCTTCCTCCATGACTCCCATGTAGGTGCAGGGACCCAAGGACTTGGGCCATATTCCACTGCTTTTCCAGGCCATAGCAGAGAGCTGGATTAGAAGTGGAGCAGCCAGGTCTTGAACCAGCACCCATATGGGATGCCAGTGCTTCAGGCCACAGTGCTGTGCCACAGCGCCGGTCCCACAAACTGTCCGTAGAACTTTCTTCCCAATTGAACACCTCACTCTGGCAGTGTGCTGTCTGCACTCTCTGGAGAGATCAGAGGAAACCCTTTGACTCCCATGTTGAGACCACTACTCTGTGTTTCTCTGTCCTGCACAACAGTTACATTCACTGGATTATGTGGGGGCCATCGTAAGCCCCCAGACCCACCGTTAATTATTTGTTTGTTCTGTGTAGAAGCTCTGAGTCTAAAGAGCACTTTAGTATTTATTTCTATCACCACACAGTCTTACTTTCTCTGATATTTGACCATTTCATCTCTAATGATTGACTTTCTTAGAAAAATACAGGTGTCAACTATCCTCTCAAATAATCTGTTTCTAATATGACCATTTTCTTGGCTTCAGCAGATTCTTTTGAAGGAAAACTTGTCAGCTTATCTTCCTAAAGCTTATTTATGCCTGCCTTTATTTTAAACTCTGTATTCCTTTGCAAAAATGCCAGAGGAACCTTCACAAGCTCTGTTTTCTTAGAAATAGTTGATTACTTGCTTTTGAGGTTTGTCTTGAAATGGTGTTCTCTGATCTTAGTGCCTGATATGTAGTCATTTTTCATGTTTTCCCACCTAGCATTTTCTTTTTATTTATTTATTTTTTGAAAATAACACACAGAGAGAAGAAGAGGCAGAGAGGCAGAGGTCTTCCATCCACTGGTTCATTCCCCAATTGGCTGCCATGGCTGGAGCTGCAGCAATCTGAAGCCAGGAGCCAGGAGCTTCTTCTGAGTCTCCCACGTGGGTTCAGGGCTCCAAAGACTTGGACCATCTTCTACTGCTTTCCAAGGCAATAGCAAAGAGCTGGATTGGAAGTGGAGCAGCCTGGACTCAAACCGTCACCCATATGGGATGCCGGTACTGCTGGCAGCAGCTTTACCTGCTACACCACGATGCCAGCACTCCCACCTAGCATTTTCTAACTTCATAGCATTCTGAGAGAACAATGACTTTGCAGCCAGAGTATCCCAAGATCAAACCAGGGGCCAAGTCAAATCACTTGGCCTTTACAGTAGTGGCTTTGGCTATAGCCTGCACACTAAGTTATATAGTAGATTACCCATAAACTCCTACTAATTTTCATTTAAATTTTATGAAGGAAATGTTTTAAAAACAGTTTCTCAGACAAATTATAGTTGAAAGATGTTAATGTATGGTGGAATGAGAAGGCCATGCCAAGATGGCCACTGGCAAGCAAGCATCAGTTACTCAGGAGTGGCTTAGGAAACCCCCTGGGAAACCCCCTGGCAACAGAGCATGACTGGCAACAGGCTGTGATTGATGGCTTTGGATACTTCCTGGCAACAGGCTGTGATTGGTTAGGGCATAAACCACCCCTTAACCAGATAGGCTTTCTTGGCTATTTAAGCTGCTGTTGCAACTGAAATAGATGAGTCTGTGGGCTGCTCACCTCTGGCCTGCTTTCACCTGACTCCCGGGGTCTGTGTGGTGACTCCATGCCTCTTGCCCCCACCATGCTCCTCCTCTCAGAATGAATCCACAGCAACAAATGTAGCTGATTTCCTGCATAAGAGTCAGAAAATATTAATTCTACATTATTCAAAATGGAGAACTTTATGCTTCAAAAGAACTCTAAAGCTACTGACCTAAAAAATATGAGGGGGTCTTCAAAAATTCATAGAAAGTGCATATTTTAAAAAAACTATGCATGGAGTTGAAACAGTTTTGCATCAAAATAAACATATCTTAATTTTATTTTTCCACAATTTTTGAAGCCCCCTTGTATACAGACTCTATAAATATTTCTATCAACACTTTTTATCCTACATAATGTTCAGTACTTGTTGACATCACAAGAAACAAGATTTGGGTGAGAAGACATTGCTCAAATAACCGAATCTTCAAAAAATTCCAAAGATTTTCAAATTATATCACTCCGAAGATGGATAGACATTTAAGCTATTTTGTAATTACATTCAATAAAAACACAAGCTATTGCTTTGGAAGATTATGTTTATCAGTTGACAGTATCAAATCAGTCAGCATAGGCATTTGGTTCAGTGGCTACGCTGCCTCTTGGGACACCTGCATTGCATACCAGAGCGCCTGGGTTGAAGTCTTGTCTCTGCTCCTAATTCCAGCTTCCAGCTAATGCAGACTCTCAGAAGGGATCCAATACTTGGGTGTGGGAGACCTGGATGGAACTTCCAGCTCCTGGCTTTGGCCTGGCCAAAGCCTGTCTGTTGCAGGCGCTTGGTGCATGAACCAGCACATGAGAGTTCTGTCTGTCAGTCTTGCTGCCTCTCAAAAAAAATCTGCAAAACAATATAAAAAGAACAGAAGCAAAATCAAGAGTTGGAAATGTGAATTGATCAGGAGGACACCTTCCCGACAACTTGATTTGTGCTTCCTGATCCGTGGTTATTCTCTCCATTCTTCCCATCCCCATTCAAGCTATGTCAGTGAACACTTCCCCCACTGTGAGATTAATCCATCCTTGATCCCAGTCCCTTCTTATGCTACTTTTTACCCTATAGTTAATCTGGCAGTGAGATCTCACCTATCTGAAATATGGCTTTTCAGAACTCAGGTCAAGTTCACTGATGTCTAAATCAAGTTCTTGTATACAGTTTTATACTCTGAAGATAAACACAATAATAATTCTCTACCCCTATACTTATGTGGTTATAAGTCCTTAGGGTAACCACAAAAAACTAGAATATCTATAAATTTTAATTAATTATCTAACTTAGCTGCTTAAGAAATACTCAAATGTGAAAACAAGCCAAATACATAAATCTTAAAAAAGAAATTATGACAACAGTTGTCATGAGGGAAAGGGGGCCAGTGCTGTGGCGTAGCAGGTAAAGCTGCTGCCTGCAGTGCCAGAATCCCATATGGGCTCCGGTTCAAGTTCCAGCTGCTCCACTTCCGATCCAGCTCTCTGCTGTGGCCTGGGAAAGCACTGAAGGATGGCCCAAGTCCTTGGGCCCCTGTACCCACATGGGAGATCCAGAATAAGCTTCTGGCTCCTGGCTTCAGATCAGCACAGCTCCAGCCCTTGCAGCCAACTGGGGAGTGAACCAGTGGATGGAAGACCTCTCTCTCTCTCTCTCTGTGTGTGTCTGTAATTCTGCCTTTCAAATAAATAAATAAGTCTCTTTAAAAAAAAGGGGGGCAGCACTGTTGTGTAGCAGGTAAAGCTGCCACCTGCAGTGCTGGCATCCCATATGGGCGCCCGTTCAAGTCTTGGATGCTCCACTTTTGATCCAGTTCTCAGTTATGGCCTGGGGAAGCAGTAGAAGATAACCCAAGTCCTTGGGCCCTCACACTCATGTGGGAGACCTGGAGGAAGCTCCTGGCTCCTGGCTTCAGATAGACTCAGCTCCAGCCATTGTAGCCATCTGGGGAGTGAACCAGCAGATTGAAAACTCTCTCTCTCTCTCTCTCTCTCTCTCTCTCTCTCTCTCCCTTTCAAATGAATAAATAAATCTTTTAAAAACAGGAATATCAGAATGTGTATCTATAAACAGCTAAAATCTTTTTTTAAAATTATTTATTTGAAAGAGTTACACAGAGAGGGAAGGAGGCAGAGACAGAGAGGTCTTCCATCCGCATCTTCTACTGCTTTCCTAGGCTGTAGCAGAGAGCTGGATTGAAGTGGAGCAGCCAGGTCTCGAACCGGCGCCTATATGGGATGCTGGCACTACAGGCAGCGGTTTTACCCACTACGCCACTGCACCTGGCCCATTGCTAAAATTTTTTTTTTTTTTTTTTTGACAGGCAGAGTGGACAGTGAGAGAGAGAGACAGAGAGAGAAAGGTCTTCCTTTTTGCCGTTGGTTCACCCTCCAATGGCCGCCGCTGCAGCCGGCACACCGCGCTGATCCTGGCAGGAGCCAGGAGCCAGGTGCTTTTCCTGGTCTCCCATGGGGTGCAGGGCCCAAGCACCTGGGCCATCCTCCACTGCACTCCCTGGCCATAGCAGAGAGCTGGCCTGGAAGAGGGGCAACCGGGACAGAATCTGGCACCCCAACCGGGACTAGAACCCGGTGTGCCGGCGCCGCAAGGTGGAGGATTAGCCTATTGAGCCACGGCGCCGGCTCTCTAAAATCTTTTAAAAGAAACAGTAGCAGTTGCAATAAGAACTTGCATTCATCACTGTCCCACCCTCCCTGTAGATTTGAGAAGGAAATTGCTTTTGAAAACAATCATGTCAACACCATGCAGGAAAAACAGAGACCATCCAACTTTATTTAACACAGTAAGCCCACCAAGTCCAGTGCAGCCACCTGCCAAACCAATCAACCTTACAGGATGTCACTATGCAGACATGATAGAGTAATACTGGAAGCCACACAGGGAACATCAAGTTAGTTTCAGAGATCAGATATCACACCATATTACAGGTCATCATGTGGACCTAAAAATCAGTATTACAGGTCACTGTCCAGGCCTCATACTAGTTTCAGTGGCCATCTTTTTTTTTGACAGAGTTAGACAGTGAGAGAGACAGAGAGAAAGGTCTTCCTTCCGTTGGTTCACCCCACAAATGGCCGCTATGGCCAGCAATGCGCCGATCCGAAGCCAGGAGCAAGGCACCTCCTCCTGGTCTCCCATGCAGGTGCAGGGCCCAAGCACTTGGGATATTCTCCACTGCCTTCCCGGGCCACAGCAGAGAGCTGGACTAGAAGAGGAGCAACTGGGACTAGTATCCAGCGCCCCAACCAGGACTAGAACCCGGGGTGCCAGCGCCACAGGTGGAGGATTAGCCTAGTGAGACACGGCGCCAGCCATGGATATCTTATTGGTAGATATCTTGTGCTTTAGGTGGAATTTCTTCCCCCGTCCCCCCAGACCTTTCTGTGTCCAGCACTCTGAAGACCTGTCAGCCAGAGATTGGAAGCATTTTACAGAGTGCAGATCTGAGAGTTCATCCTTGCTGGGAACCTGGCGCACTTCTCACACCCTTGATGGCTACAGCCAGAAGAGGCTGGCTCGCGCGCCCTCTGGTGCACTTCTCACACCCTTGATGGCTACAGTCAGAAAAGGCAGGCTCGCGCGCCCTCTGGTGGCTTCTAGGACTCCGCACAGGACTCGCGGCCGTTCGCCACAGACTCCATCTCCCAGTGGTCCCCACGGGCATCCTGCTTCAGAGGACCGCGTCTCCCAGAACACCTCACAGGCTCTGGACTCAGACTCCATTTCCCAGGGTCCTGTGGGCGCCCGCCTCAGACTCCATCTCCCAAAGCCCCATGGGCGCCTGCCTCAGACTGCATCTCCCGGAGCCCCGTGGACAGCCGACTTCCGAGTACTCCTCTCACGGAGGGCCCTGCGGGGGTACCCTCTTTGAGGAGCCCGTCTTCCGTCTTCCAGAGCACTCTGCGCAAATCCCTAAGACCCCATCTCCGAGAGCCCCATGGGCGCCTCAGACTCGAACTCCCAGAGCCAGCGAGCGACAAGCCTCAAAGGACTCCATCTCCTAGTGGTACCCGCGGGTGTCACGCATCAGAGGACCGTGTCTCCCAGAACACCTCACGGCCTCTGGACTCAGACTCCATTTCCCAGAGCCCCGTGGGCGCCTGCCTCAGACTGCATCTCCCAGAGCCCCGTGGGTGTCCAGCTTCCTAGGATTCCGTCTCACGGAGGGCCCTGCTGGGCTGCCCTCTTTGAGGACCCCAGTTTCCAGAGCCCCCTGAGCATGAAACCCTCAGAAAGCCATCTGCGAAAGCCCCGCGGGCGCTCCCCGCGACTCCAACTACCAGAGCCCAGCCAGAGACAAGCCTCAGAGGACTCCATCTCCCAGGGGTCCCCGCGGGCATCATACGTCAGAGGACCGCGTCTCCCAGAATGCACGGTGGTCTCCCGCTTCAGACTCCATCTCCCAGAGGTCCCCGCGCTCATTGTTCGTCAGAGGGCCACGTCTTCCAGACACCTCGCGGGCGCTCATCTCAGACTAACTTTCCAGGGTCCTGTGAGCGCCTGCCTCAGACTCCATCTCCCAGAGGTCCTAGCAGGATGCTCACGTCAGAGGACCGCTTCTCCCAGAACACCTTGCAGGCGCTTGCCTCAGACTCCATCTCCAGTGGAAGCTTCAAAGGACTCCATCTCCCAGCGCTCCCCGCGGGCACCGCGCGTCAGAAGACCGCGATTCCATGAAGGCAGCGGGGCGTCCATCCTCAGACCCCATCTCCCAGCGCTCCCCGCGGGCACACACACACACACACACACACACCCGTTATCCTCAGAACGATGGAGCCCTAGAGTGTGGAGTGCAGAGCACGACAGGACATCTGTCACAGATGCGTGGACACTCACGACGCGTGGTGGGAGACGGCGCTTGTGTGGAATCCACAGGCCGGAATGAAAGTGGAATGCACACGAGCAGTGCACCGTCCTTCTTACAGGGCCAACAGAGGCTTCGGGCGTCAGGCGTTGCGGCACAGCGGCTTAAGTGGCTGCCTGCAATGCCGGCATTCCCTATGGGCGCTGCTTAGATCAAGATACTGCACTCCCAATCCAGTTCCCCGCTGATGTGCCTGGGAAAGCCTTAGGTGGCGGCCAGAGTCTTGCACCCGTGCCACCCCCATGAAAGACACTGGGGGAGTTCCAGGCTCCTGGCTTCAGCTTGGCCCACCCCACCATTGTCGCCATTTGGGGAGTGAACCAGCAGATGGAAGATGTGTCTCTCCCTCTGTCACTGTAGCTCAAGAAAGAAAGAAAGAGAGAAGGAGGGAGGGAGGGAAGGAAGGAAGAGAAAAAAAAAGAAATTTAAAAAGACAAAAGAAAAGGAGTCTTAGGGAGCCTGTTTCACCGTCCCGCCATTCAAGGCCACAGCTGCAGACCCATCAGTGAAGAGCAGGTCTGCACCAGAAATCTCCAGAGCTTTAATCTTTGTCTACTGTCCAGGACCACGGGCAATACATTACTGTTGAGATCTACTTCCTGAAAACCCATAACCCCAGGCCCATTGTGAGGAAAGTCAGAAAAGAGAAACATGGCATAAAGCTGGAGACCTAGAAGCCATGAGCGATTTTCTAGTAAAAATACATAAAAGTTGGGGCCAGTGTTGTGGTGTAGTGGGTTAAACCACAACCTGTAGTACCAGCATCCCATATGGGCACCGGGTAAGTCTCTCCCTGGTACTCTGACACCATCAGAAGCACATGTCCTGCCTCTCCAGTCTACGCATATCCTGGAGCCTGTGTGAAGTGGCACAGACCC